TATTTTTTTTTGGGGAGGTGAAATTGAGAGAAGCATGTAGCTTACATTTTCAAGCAAAAAAAATAGTACCGATGGGACTGGGTCTTATGAATTGTTCACGCGAAAACTTGGGGCTGTTGGAGTATTTTCAACTAGGTCACACTAAGGGAGGGACCCCACAGGCTGGCGGCCTGGAAAGCCGGCTGGCGGAAGTCGGCGGCGGAAGGCCAGCGCGACCGGAGAGCGATCAAAAGACGGGACCCCACCGCCACCGCGAAAATGTGCTGCTGCGGGCCCCGCGGTTTCCCCAACAGGAAAGTCGACCCTGAGGTCTCCCGAATAGGAAAGCAGGTCCGTCTGGTTGTGTTCCTGGGTCCAGGCGCAAAGGCCCCCGGACCGTTCCTGCTGCTCCAATGTGCGACGGGTTGGGTGACGCTGCACAGTGAACGGCACAGGGTGCGCGACTGCGGGGTGTTCGAACGGCCACATTTTTAAAAGGGTCGMRGTTGCTGTCCCGCTGTGCTGTGMCCGACTGTGCGATTTGYCGTTGGCTATTYGTGTCAGCATCCGCTGTGCCATCGCCGAATCAAGGAAAAGGAGGTAGTGGTGTRTTGGGGAAGACARGATAGGGACGGTGTGCTGTCRTGTGAAGAAGAGTCATGGACGAGCAGTGGGAAGATAGATTGTTGTTTGTCGTCGTGGCTGTCATGCAGTGGGTGAGTCGTCGTAATGTGGCCGCCATGGCCGTCCTTGAYGCGGCTTCTCTATTGCCACTACGCGACAGCGAATTGGCGATGTCCATGACGATGTTGTTCGGCGTCGTTTGCCACAGCCTTTCCATGTTGTCCGCGTTGGCGGCCGGTGTAGAGGATCGCATGCGGGGCAGGAGGAGAGTGTGGGTGCTTGAAAGGAGCGGCAGTGTGTGGGAGGACCTGCAGCGCGAAGGGGAGCGACATGAGAAGGTGTTCAGGAGATTCTGCAGGCTGCCGCGTCCTGTGTTCAACGACATTCTGCAGCGTATCGGACCCCATATATAGCGAGCAACGACGAATTGGAGGCAGCCGTTGCCAGCGGAGCAGAAGTTTGCTTGCGCGCTTATCAGGTGGGCAACAGGAGGGTTTTACAGACAGTCCGGTCATGGTCTGGGTATGGGACTCGCGAGCGCCCTGCGCAGCAACAAGGACGTCGCTGAGGCGATCATCAGGGAGTACGGACATGTCTTGTCTTTTCCGGAGTGGCGTCGGTTACAAGAGGTCATGGACGCCTTCGAACGCAACGGTTTCCCTGGCTGTGTGGGTGCAAGCGATTGCACACATCTGTACATAGAGAAGCCGCGGAATGAATACGCTACATGCTACTACGACCGGACAGGGCAGTTCTCTATTATCGCGCAGGTTGTCTGCGATCACGAGTTCCGTATTCTTGACGTGTTTGTGGGTTGTCCCGGATCGTGCCATGACATTATAGTCCTCAAACATTCGACACTCACCACCGACTATGACAAAGGGGTGGGTGTTCTGCACGGCGAGCCAGCCACACCTCGAGACGGGAGCAGCATTGACCGTTTTTTGTTGGGTGACGCAGGTTATCCGTTGTTGTCTTGGCTCATGACCCCACATCCTACCAACAGACCTCGCACTCCGGAACAGGTGGTGTTCGACGACATGCATACGACAACGAGGAGCTGTATAGAACGCACGTTCGGGTTCATCAAACACATATGGAGGAATTTCGGGTGTCGCCACATCAGCAACCTGAAGACAATCTGTAAGGAGTTCATGGCGTGTTGCACACTGCACAACATCCTGTTGGATTACAAGGTGGACATGAACGGTTTGGCCGGATGCGATAGCGATGATTCGGATGATGACTCCGATGAAGACTGTCCACAGCCTCCGCCCGACCAGCCACCCCTGTATGAAGGGGAAGCCATGTCGAAACACATAGAGGAAGCGTATAACTTAGAGGCGTGGAAGGCCATCAGGAGAAGGCTTCTTCGCCATGTCACCCATCATGCGAGAGTGCACGGCCCCCCGGATCCAAGTCCATGGTTGTGACGCCATCTTCGTACATGGGAACATACATAGATAGATTGGAAGATTGATAGGTAGGCAGGGGCGGAGAAATAGAAAGATCCCTCCGAGTCGTAGTTGGTTTTGGAGCAGTTGCGCATCGTTATTCGTTGTCTTCTTCGCTTTCGTGTGCACAGACCTAACTTTCCGTATGCCCATGTCATGAAGCAACACATTGTGCAAACTTCGCAATAGTGATCCGTGCATGGAGTGAGTTTTGTTGAACACATACATGGACAACGACAACCGAATCTCCGCCCAAAACATCAGGGGTTTTGAAAGTGATGGAGAAACATACAGAAAGGAAAATTTGAAAACATGCAAGGTGAGAGATAAATACACAAACCAAAACTTGGACATATAGATGGACAAAGAAAACCGAATCTCCGCAGAAA